CTGGTGTTCAAGAGCTGTTCTTGGTGGACAGTTTAAGGTTCTCATGGTTGTCTCTCTCTTCAGGAAAGCTTGGCTCCTTTGTAGATGTCTAGTGTCTTCAGGATCTCTTCTGGGCAATTAGAAGAGCAAGTGTTGGGGCTTATAACGTGGATTAAACTGTGAAATGTTAATGGTATTCTCCAAGGAAGAATCTCTGTGTCTGCTCAGCTTGATCTGTTGTATGCTTCAAGACAAGACATCAAAGTGAGGTAGGAGCCATAAATTGGGCAGCACTTAGATATAAAACTAAGTGAAAATCCACATGTATAAGGATAAACAGGTGAAACTAAATCCGGTGATGGATCTCCATTGCAGCTGCTGAAGGGTCCTCAAAAATAGTTATTTCATGATGTCCTGAGAAATTATTACTGCAGACCTACTGATGCAAGGTTAGAAGTGGAGGATAAAGAGTCTGGGAATAAGCCTTGTAAGCAGACTAGCCTGACACTGGCTGGGAGCAAACCTCCCCTGTAGGTGTCAAAAAAGCCTGCTAACTAGGATGCTTCTGGAAAGAAGGTGCAGTAGGACCAACCTGTAGGCTTTTGGAGAGCACAGACCTTGACATTAGGGGCAGGTAAAGTTTTGCATGTTCCCTGGCTTCTCCGCATGAAGCTGAACCTTCCCCTGGCTGCAATGTGATCCTTGGGCATGCCGGGAGCCTGCCAGGTTTTGGACGGAGTGCTGAGTCGGAGCTCGCAGCTGTAGTAGAGAAATGGGGAGGACCTACTCCGAGATCGTGCTGCCTCTGAAGAGCTTTGTTGCAAATCAGAGGGCTTTGATTTGTACAATCCTCTGGACTCTCAAGCAGTAGAAGACCTCAACTTCCAGTAGCTTTTGTCCAGTGGGAACTGTTGGATTATCCCTGTGGCTTTAGGGCACTTGCTTGGTGGTGGGCCGTGCCTCCAAGCCAAAGCCCGTCAGGGTAGACAGCTCCATGCCAAGCTTGGTGTAGACCTGCGCTCTCTGGCCCAGTGTCTTCCCTTCTGCTCCTGCCCCGAGGCAGGGCATCTGCCCAGCACAGGGCTGCCTGCGGCGTACGGAGGGTCTGGCTCCTGGTGTGCGTGTCATGTGCTGTCACAGCACGGTGGGAAGCTCTTGCAAGTAAGACCGTTGCCTGCAGACTAGCAGGGAAATGAGAGTCACCACGGCTGAGGTCTTCTGCTGCTCTGCATCAATATAGAGCCAGTCTTGCGTCTGGATTTGCAGGCTGGGCTTGAAAGAACCAGAAAGGAAGGTGAAAAAGGCCTTTTTTTTTTTTTTTTTTTTTTCCCCTGGAACAGCTGGAAGAGTTGCATCTATCAGGTTTCTGGCTATGTTGGCGTGTGGGCTAGCTCTTTGTGCTTGGCTCTTTATGGCACATGCAAGGCTTGACGCCATTTCAGCCACGTGCATCTCCTGCCCTGCCACCGCTGTTCTGCAGGGGCACAGGGGTGAAATGAGACCTGTCAGTGACTGAGATTTGCGATGCAAGTTCTGCTTTTCCCTACTGTCAGCCAGGGAAGTAAAACGCCAAAGTCACTGAGCTTCCCAGAGAGCAGGTAGACTTCTAGCCAGAGCCTGATGGCTTTGTGTTCCTGCCAAGCCCTTTCAAGGTCAGACTGAGATTTTTCTTTGGATATTTCAAGTCTCCAGCTCCATGTAGTAGTGCTGGGAATGGTGTTAGGTGATCTAACACTCATAGGGTTAGTCCATAGGTGAGGGTTGTGCCCTTCTTGAGGAAGCTGAGACCCCTCCAGGGTCTGAGTTAGGAAGGGGGAGGGTTCTGGCAATATTAATCTGGATGCTGGAAACAAACATTAGCAAAAATTCTCAGAAAGGTCTTTTAAAATGACCGCTGCAATCTAATTCCAGCCTGTTACAGGATATTGCCTTGTTGATGTTGCGTTAGAGGGGTTCAATGCAATGCTATAAATTAAGTCTGTCAGAGCCTGCTGTTTAGCCTCTGCCTTGACTGAACTCACTTTGTGTTGGTATCCTGCAGTGTCAGGAGAAATCAGCATTTGCTTGGCTGAAACAGGCTTACAGCGAGGACACAGTCCTGCACTGTACGTGCTGGACTGCAGCCTCTTCCCTCCGTGTTCCAGTACTGAGGGATGCGGTCCCTGTCCCTGGCCGTGTTACGCCTTTGCGTTTCTCTGCAGTGCGTCTCTGCAGTGCTCTGTCTTACTGGGAGCCTGGCTAGAAAGGAGTTACAGGGTTAACAAGGTTCCCTTTCTGCTTTGAGAAGTTCCCCGCTAGCTCCCTGGAGGAATCTGCTTTCTCCACGGGTGTACCTTCCCATCTATCAGCAAGCTTGTTGAAAGCATTTTGACAGGCAACTTCTGTAATCCTTAATAGCTTCAAATTCAACATGTTTATGGCAAAGATAATTCTACGGAACTCCCTGTAGTTTTAATAAATCTGTCCTCCAGTGAGACTCTCCTAGTGAGAGGAGGGAAATCTCCTTTCTGCCGTGATAGATATCTGCAGAGTTGGCTGTGGGGCAGCTTTAAAGTCACCTGCCTGGTCCATGCTTAAAACTGGTATCTCTGCTCAGAGAGCGTCTTGCTAAAAACAACCTCATGTGGTTATCCGCCTTCGTAACTGGTGTCAGGACAGAAAACCGTTGGGATCGGTGACTCTCTTGGTGTAGTATGGCTGTTGATGTTGGACACTCTCCATTTAGAGCTGGAAGGTAAGAGAATAAGCCAGGCTGGGATTTCTGCATGTCTCTAGTCCCAAGTCCCGTACTCCAAGCAGAGCAACCTAGATTGGGTTACTTGGGGTCTTGCCCTGTGAAGCTTCAAATATCTCCAAGGATGGACCACCCATGAGCTGCAGGGTAGGGGACATCTTCATTGTGTTCCAGTGTCTTTCAGCTCACAGTATCTTTAATTTATGTTTGTGTAGGTATCACTCAAAGGGAAGAATGAGTGGAATCACCTCAAAGTTGTTAAGTCCTAGAAAAAATACAGCTAGAGACCTCTGAACTTAGAGCACCAGGCAGCCTGGAGGCAGCACGTAAATGACTTTCCGGGGGTATTTTAGCATGCTGCAGTTGGGCTGAGCCTCTGCCCCTCTGCAGGAGGCAGCGTATCACATGCAACCCAGGGCTGTCAGCAGCTGGGAGAGGTGGGACCTGGGTTAGTCTCCTGCGACTGGGAGCTGCTGGATGGCCCAGGCATCACACACCCTGCTTACCTCGGGGCGTGCAAGCTGGGAGCTGCCTTGGCACGCTGCCCTGTGCACCTTGTCCGGTATCGGTGGTGGCTGCTGCCAGTCACAGGAGACTCTGCCCTCTTTAACATGACACCCGTTTCTCTTGTCCCTCAACCCTCTTTTACCCTTGACGCAGAAGGCGGCCGTGCCTGGTGTACGTAGTAAGACCCTCTTCTCTCTGGAGGTGGGCTGGTTTTTGGTTTGCCTGCCAGGCTGCAGAGTGGCTCCTGGAGCAGCCATGGGGTCTGCACAGTAGCAAAGAGTGGGACCGGAGGCTCTTCTTGCTGCCTCTGCTTTGAGGAAAGGAGGAGAGGGGGTCTGGATCAGAGGCCAGAGTGCTCTGCTTGCTGTGTGGGAAACGGGCTGAGCTGTAGTTCGGTTTTGGGAGAAGACATTAGCCAGAGCAGGGCTGAGCAACTGCAGGGAGAGCTGCGGGCAGGAGTGGATGTCGCTGGAATGAGCGGGTCAATAGGGTGCAAGTGAGGGTGAGTCATTCCAGGCCACACAAATGAGATCCTGGGCTGGGCCATCCTGCACCTTCCAGCGTGAGCCCCTGGCCTCCTGATCCACCACCATAAACCTGGTTATCTACGCCCAGAACAAACCTTGTCCTTGCAAATTCTTCTGAAAATGACTCAGTATTTGCAGAAGCCTTTCATGTCCAAACCATTACCTAATCCTTGTGAGAAGTGACTGCAGGAGGAGGCTTATGGGTTCCTGCTCTGCTGGCCCGCTTCCCTCATGGCCAAACCCAGGGTGTGTATGTGTCAGGGCAGTGTGTCCCCAGGGGAAGGGGACAACAGCAACATCCAGGCTCAAAGTGCCAGCTGGCAGCTGTAACGAGCCCAGCTGAGTGGCTGTACAGAGCAGCCTGGCTGCCGCAGTGTCCAGGGGTGCTGCCCCTGCTCCAAGGGTGCAGAGACACATGTATGGGGCACAGCATGGTGACAAGCCCTTCGGGAAATACCTGCTGCCCATAAGCAGGGCAGCTGGTGCAGCAGTTGGCCGGCTGCCTTGCTGTCGGTTGGCTCCAGCCAGCAGTGGGTTTGTGGGAGCTGGAATGGGGTTATTGCCATATCGAGTGTGACAATTCCCAGTAACAGAACCGGCCCAGGCAGCTTTCAGCAGCTCGCTTGCGAGGTGGCTCTGTGCTCCGTCATCTCCTTAATCCCTCTGTTGCCGCAGCGCGTAAGGCGGGTAGACACGATGCCGTGCATTAACGCTCTTGTCCTCAATGAAGAAAATCCTGTGTGGGAAGAACGTACTCTGACCGTGTGAGCTTTTAAGTCCTTATCTGTGCAGATGCCTCAGGCAGCTGTAATTTTAACATCCAGCGTATTCTTTAGTCATCTCAGAAGCATGACCTGTGCTTATGGGAAACGGAAAAGATGAACACCCCGTAGCTATGGTGGTGTTAATCCGTGTGGCTAGCTTGTAACCCTAGACTGTCTCCACTCTCCTGCTTTGACTGCCTGTCTTGCCTGGATCGTGAAGTCTGGTTCTTATCCCACAGGTGAAAGGCATCTCTTTCCTAGAGGATTTCTCTCATTCTGGGAAAACACTGACCTTCTAAGAGATGGAGAATACCTCAAATAAAACCCCACCTGCCCCTTTTTCTGGGGGACAGGACCACGGCATGATTTCCCAGCTGGCCGCCTTCTCCTGCCTCTCCCTAGAGATGCACAGGAGCACCCGAACGTGTGACAGGAACATCAAGTGCCTGGGGCTTAACCCAAGTGTCTCTCTTCTCTCTTCCTCTCTCGATGCAGGTGACGGAGCTGAACGAGCCTCTTTCCAACGAAGAGAGGAACCTGTTGTCCGTTGCCTACAAAAATGTGGTGGGGGCACGGCGTTCCTCTTGGCGAGTAATTAGCAGCATTGAGCAGAAGACCTCTGCCGATGGGAACGAGAAGAAGATAGAAATGGTCCGGGCCTACCGTGAGAAGATCGAGAAGGAGCTGGAAGCGGTGTGCCAGGATGTCCTGAGCCTGCTGGACAACTACCTGATCAAGAACTGCAGCGAGACACAGTACGAGAGCAAAGTCTTCTACCTGAAGATGAAAGGGGACTATTACCGCTACCTGGCCGAAGTGGCCACTGGTGAGAAGAGGGCGACCGTGGTGGAGTCTTCGGAGAAAGCCTATAGCGAAGCCCATGAGATCAGCAAGGAGCACATGCAGCCGACCCACCCCATCCGGCTCGGGCTGGCGCTTAACTACTCGGTTTTCTACTACGAGATCCAGAACGCTCCGGAGCAAGCCTGCCACCTGGCCAAGACGGCTTTCGACGACGCCATTGCCGAGCTGGACACCCTCAACGAGGACTCCTACAAGGACTCAACGCTCATCATGCAGCTCCTCCGTGACAACCTAACGCTCTGGACGAGCGATCAGCAAGACGACGACGGCGGAGAAGGCAACAACTAGACCCCCCCGATGGACTGGCAGCCGCACGCTGATGCTAACTACTGCAGTCTTTATTTTTTTCCCACGAGTGGGGGGGGGGCAGGGGTGGGGGAGGGAAAGGGAGGGGACACCTTCCCAGGGAGGCCCCCCACAACCTGTCTTTGATTGCCTCGTTGACATTTTTGCCAAAACACCACTAGTGGAAGTCAGGCTGGCTGTGCTGGTATGGAATAGCAGCCTCACTGGCATATGGACTGTTCTGTAGATTATTAATACAAGTGGAGCTGTCTTTAATTTAACTTTATCGCTAGAAATAAAAGGGTTTTAAGATGAATTCGCGTGAATGGAATGGCCCTCGTTTTTAAAGAAAGCAACGCAAAAAAAAAAAAAAAGGGAGTTCTGTGGTTCCAGTAAGGCTTCGTGCGTTTGTTTCTTCAGTCCAAGTGCCGTGTGTCCGTACCACGTCGCGGGGCGTCTCTCTGCAGCGCTCTGCCTGGCAGGGCGTAGCTTCAAATCCCCAAATTGAGAAGGAATTTAAAAAAAAAAAGAAAAAAAAAAACCCTAAAGAATTTGAGGCTTGCAAAGCCCTAGGATTTAGGCCATCCAATAATTTTTTTTCTTTTTGTTAAGATATTTATTAGGGTAGCTTACAGTATTAACACTAAATTGCAGTTTACAGTATTTCTACATTACAGCCATATGACATCAAGC